TTGTGGGTGAATGCTGTCAGGTCTGAAGGTATTGAAAAGGCATGTCAGCAGTCTAGGAGAAGTGGGGGCAGCTCATGGGTTTTACAATATTTGTCAGAGGGTGCTGGAGCATTGGCTAGGAGTTCACGGAATGGAATTAATTGAAAGGGGGTGCTCAAGCTTGGAACCATTGGTGGAATTTGAGGGGTGGCAGGGGGAAAGATAGTGTCTTGAGAGCAAGGAGAGTGGTTGTCCTGTTATGTGCAAGTACAGAAGAGGAAGTGATCAGCAACTTGCAGTCAATAACTCTAAGCAAGCATTAGCAAAATTATGTATAAAGAATCTTTGGTAGGTATGTAATTTTAAAAAAAGTTTCTGGAATTTAAAGTTAAATAAGCAAATTAGTCATCAACTTGACAAAATAAATTTCAGTGGTAATGAATCTTAAAACTTGCCTACTGAGGATAACCTTCATCTACAATTAAACTAAGTTGGCCTTCTAGGTTCGGGGTGGAGTGAGGGTGAAGGCAGCATTACTCACAAATATTAAATTTATCAATCCTCTGTGGACTAAAGTAAATTGAAACACAAATTCCTGCCACACTGAGCCAATGAGCATCTCCCTAGGAAACACATGAACGTCACTCTCGGAATATGAATATTCCCTAAATTAATTAAATAAAAGCAGCCTTTCTGAAGGTGAGAGGGGTTTGTGGTGTATTCATTATAAAATAGAAGGGGATTCGGACAGAAAAAACTACAGGTAAAATAAAGCTAGATTGATTAATTAATTTATTACATTTTGGGAAATATAGTAACTAAAAGTTTTAAGTTGTGAAAGAGGACAAAATTGATTAGATGAGGCAGGATAGATGGGTGAGTTCAGAGCTGTGAGTTAGAGTTAGAACAGAGGCCACATTAACTTTACGAAGGAGGTACAAACTGGGGTTAAAGTGCGATGTCACGAATATGAAGCTCTAGCGATGAGGCGATAGGAGAGAAAAATGATTTCTTTTAGGAATCTGGCCTGCTTCAGAGCAAAGAAGGTAAAAGGAAAATCTGATAATAGTATTCAAACATTTAAGCATAAAATCAGGAAAAGACATTTTTCCACTGGCTGATGACTCAGCAATTAGAAGTCTTAAATTCAATACTGTCAGAAACAGACCAAAGGGAGAGGTTAAAAAGAACTTCCTTAACATGGAGGGTGGTTGGAAAATGGATTGTCCTTCTAGAAACTACAGTGGATGCAAAATCCACAATAGTTTTTAAAGCAAATAAACAGTTTAATTATTTTTAAGAAATGGAGACTTCTTCACAGACCAATAAAGTCACAACAAAATCCTTCTGTACTGTAAAATTCTTTGACAAAAGGAAGTCTTGATCACACGGGCTCATTATGTAAAGCAGGATTGAGCATATGAGAGAAAGCTGAATCAGCTAATAAAATGACTGAAAACATATGTTTAAATTGAGACAGAAAGCTGTGGCACCCAGGCATATTGAAGGCAGACATGATACAAGTATGATCAGAAGCAGTTTGAAATGCACAACAAAAGCTGACAGAGTATGTAAAACTTTGCATATTATACTGGACAATAAATGTTATTCTAATACATGCTGAAGGTGCAGTCTTACAGAGCAGACATCAAACGGAGACCCTGTCTGCTCTCTGAGCTGCATGTGAAAGATCTCATCGCACAATTCTCAAGAGGAGCAGTTAAGTTCTCTCTGGTGTCCTGGTCAATATTTAGTGCTCAACCAAATCATTGAAATAAATTAGGTGGTCAATATGACATGATTCTTTGTGGAATATTTCTGTACATAATAGACTGCTGTGTTTCATGGATTATAATAGTAACTTTGCTTCAAAAAGTACGTCATTAGGTGGAAAGTGCTTTGGAAACCTGAAGGTTGTGAATAACTTTATAAATTATTATTTATCTTTACAGGATTTGGGCATTACTGCTTTATCAGCATTTGACACTCACTGCAAATTGCTTTTGAGGTGGTTTTGGTGAGGTGCCTTCTTGAACCTTTGCAATCCATGGGGTGTATGGCCATTCACAATTGACAGGAAGAGAGTTCCAGAACTTTGACCCAGTGACAGCGACATAGTTCTAAGTCAGGATAGCGTATTGTTTGGGGAACTTGCAGACAGTGGTATTCTCCAACACTTGTTGTCCTTCTGTCTAGGTGGTAGAGGTAATGGGTTTGGAAGGTGTTGTCTAAGGGAGCTTGGCGTCTTGCTGGAGTGTATTTTATGGATGGTACACACTTCTGCCATTGCTGCTGATGGGAGTGAATGTTTAAAATGCTGAATGAGATGCTACTCATGGATGGTGTCGAGTTTCTTGAATGTTTCTTGAATGAGCTGCACTCATTCAGGCAAGTGGACAATATCCATGACACTCTTGATTTGTGCCTTGTAGACGGTGGAAAGGCTTTGGGGAATGAGGACTTACATTACACATCACAGAATTTCCAACCTCTGACCTGTTCTTATAGTCACAATGTTTATATGACTGGTCCAGTAAATACCAGTCTTTCTTTATTTAATGGATACCATCTGACATATAAGGAATGAACTATTGAAGAATGCAATAAAAACCAACAGCCATGAGGTCCATGACTTTGTTCAGTTTTATAGCAAATAACAAAGAGCATTTTTTTTTTATACTTAGCAGGTGGACTTAAATCTTCTGAATCTAAATTTTCATTGCAGGAAAAGTACCCCCCATACAGGTTCCACCATAAAGAGAGAAACAACTCATACAAAGCTTTAAGTGCAATTCTCATTATGGCTAAAAGCTTACTTTCTTTATGAAGCCAATGTGTCAAAGTAGTAAAATGCAACGCAACTAGCTTCAGCTTTTCATCAGCAGCCCACTTCAGTTAGCGCATCAGAGCTGTTTACACCATACCTTTTGTTTTGCCCTCAGCGCTTTTTTTGTTCCAAAAATGGAATGATTTAATGCATGCTCCATCAACATCACTTCAATTCCAGACTTAGCATGTTATCGCATGAACAAAGTCTGCACTGTTCAGTAGGAAGTTGAATCTTTTGTTTGGTTGCATTAGTCATTATAGGCAGAAAGATGTTGTGGTTTTTCAGGTAACAAAATACAAAAAGTGCTCTGACTCTGAAGGTGCTTTTAGATCAGTCATTACATTTCAGCAAAATGTTTATTTATTAATCTGCCAAAATGCCGTGAAAAAAAAACTAGAAAGTATCCTGATGACAGAATTACTTTAGCGTGTTTGGACACCATATTGATGGTTTTCTCCTTCCAGAACAGCTTAATGGCATCATCATCCAGTAACTCTGTATAATGAATAACATAATGTAATTGAATCACTTGTAGTAAAGCAGCAGCTACAGAAATTCAGTCAATTTCAGCATTTAAGAAGGCCATTTGAACAGGTCTGTTGGCAAGTATTGGAACAGTGGCACAGAATGTTAATTTTGAAATAGAAGTGAGAGGGGTGGAGGAGAAAGTGCCAATGGAGTTCAGAATCAGATTTACTTATGATCTGCTGGTCAGCACCACACCTTCACTGTCTTGAAAGGGCAAGTATTGGAAGATGTATGGAAACTTCATTAAGGGGAAGGGTTTGCTTTGATTTATTGTAGTCACATGTACCTAAGTACAATGTACAGAGGGGGGCATACAAGGTTACAGCTGCACATGGGGTGCACAAAGCAAGATCAACATTTTTTGAAGTTAGAGGGGTCCTTTCATCAGTTTAATAACAGCAGGAAAGAAGCTGTTTTTGAACCTTCTGGTGCATGTGTTGAAACTTTTGTACCTTCTGCCTGATGGAAGAGGTTGAAAGAGAGTATTACCAGGGTCAGAAGAGTCTTTGATGATGTTGGCAGCCTTTCTGTGGCAACGAGAATTGTACATGGAATCCATGGATGGGAGGCTGGCTTCCGCGATGGTGTCATTTACCCCCCAGTCAAGTTTCCATAAAGGCCATGATGGTATTGCAATAATCCACAATAAATTCATGGATAACATTGTCTGTTCACGGGTGACCATTCTGGAGAGAAATGTGTAAGGGTGGTGGAGGTAGTCTTTCTGGCAGAGACCATATGTTCTGCAGTGGGAGGGGTCTGAATCAGTGGAGTTGGAATACTCCACATAAATTTTTTGATTTTTCAACCTTTAAAAATCTCATCAAGACTTATTTGAAATGTCAAACTTTTGGTCACTCTCCTGATCACTCCTGCCAGCTTGCTCATACTCCTTGTTTTGAAGTTTTCCAATATTCAAGTCTCCATACTGATAACAGTAGGGAAAACAAGTGTCTTGCTGAACGGAGATCAGATCACAAGTAAGATAGTAACACAGATTCATACCTATTAAATCAAGATGTAGTGTTTCAATTTCCTCTCAACTGTGTAATGAGTTTATAACATTGACCCTCAGAATAGCATTTTCATCATCTTTAAGATTATACAAATATATTTAAATACCAGGGAACTCCATAAACAATGACCTGACTGATCTTTTACATCTTTGGCTACCAAGTAAAGGAGAGTATATTGAAGGCCCTATGTTTGTAACTCTTGAACTGTGTTATTCAGTGTGCAAGTTATGTTAAATTTCATCCAGAAACAAATCTCAGGGCAAGTTTAAATTTCTTCAAAGTTGGACAGTCAGGAAGTGGGGGTGGGGGGAGGCGGTGTAGGAGTGAAGAAAAGGCCATGAACTACCTCCCTATTCGAGCTTCCTGGATGTGCAAAATCATAGGATATATTTCATTTGATTTTTAATTATAGCTAAATGCAATTCTTTAACTATAAGTCAGTCCACCAGCCCTATTGTGCACTTCAGTTCTTTTCAATTGTAACAAAATTAGTATCTTCTTCACTTTCCCTGTAAGAAAATAAATTAAGCTATAAAAATGCAAAGGGAACAACGTTTTATCTTATGGATGAAATAGCACTTGGCTCAAGAAACGTACTTTACACAAATAGTAAAGCACATCTCCTTGGCTGAAGTGACTGTACTTACTTTATCACACAGCTCTTCAAATGTGCAGTCTGCTATGGTTCCGCAAGCTTTGCTCAGTCTCAGTTCTCTGCCTTGCACTTTCAAAATCCTTGGTCGTGTTACTATGGAAACATGAACAAAGAATCAGCCTTGTTTGGATAATTACTATAAAATTCATCTCTTATACCTTGGAAATGCATGGTTTGATGAATAATAGCACATGATTCAACACAGAAATTAGACAAAATACTGATACAATGACAACCACTTGAGTGTGGCATCAACCCATATACAGCAATGGAACTTACTAATTGGTCAGTGGAGATTGGGCATTGTGTTCTAAATGTATTCTCTTTCAAGAGAAATTAACTTACGTACTATCATTTTGTTTCTGAGCCAGCTCATCAAATAGCTTATCCACGACAGCCTCCACATCAGCTTCACTTGTGCTACAGTGAAAAGAATAATGGAATATGAAATTAATAACACTTGAAGCCAACATCAAACAGCTGCCCAGGCTCGCTTAGCTTTTTGCCCATCAAAAAAGAACAGGATGTTATGCTCTAAATACAAACATTAGATTTATAATACACTTTAAAGCTTGGAATATTAACTCTCAGGTAGATGATTCTATCTTATTTGCATACACTGAAAGACTTCTGTGATTGAAACCTAAGCCAGTAATGAGGCAATACAAGCGAACCAAATCCATTAATGCTATGTGTATACAATGAGAAGAAAGGACCATGGATTTCTCTTGCATGCAAAACAAGAGCAAGAGAACAGATCAGTCATTCTTCTGAAGAAACAGCTTTTGAAAATGTACCGAGATGGTACATCATTCAGACTAAATATGGCTAAGTAGCTTGTTATAAAAGTCAAATTAAAGCAGTGTGTTGAGAGAGCATGTTACAGTTAAGCTTATAAAATATTATGAGTGAATGCATACGGATATCAAATCAGAAATCAAGTAATGACTCAAGCTCTTAGGAGCTGCATTATTATTTACAAAATAGTGAAGTTTGAAATAACTGTCATGGGTTGAGAAATAACCAAGGGAGATGATAAATGGAAATCGATCTGGGTTTGACTCACAAAAATGTTTTGGTTTCTACATTTAAAATGCACAAAAAACAAAGAGAAATTTATGCTTATGATGGTCATCAATCTGAAATGGACTTTAATTTATTTTTAATTAAAATTGTTAAAAATATTTAAAATAAGAACTAGTACTTAGTATTCCACTTCTGAAATGCCTTGAGAAATTTTCTACATTAAAGGTGCTGAATGGAAGAAAGTTGTTCTTCCATTGACTTCAGTTGAGCAATACCAGTGTAATGTCATTAAGTGATGGAAACGTGTTGTTATATTGTTAAAAATTTAGGTTAGCTTTGCTCCAAACTATTGTAACTTTTTTTTAACTGAAACAACAAATACTCAATGGGTTACAAAATAATGAGGGGTGTTAATTCCTTCATAAACTGTTCAAACTTCATTGCAGTGCTAGAAAATCCTCAGTCTTTAAGCACATTCTATTCTATGTTACTGTACTCAAGGGACATATTGAAACTTTAATAAAATATATATATGGTTGAGAAACAAGTAAAATCTGACAAAGTGTGTCAACGAGTAGAAACTGACCTGAAGACAAAACAGGCAATAACAATCTCAATGCATTGGTGCAGGTATTAGTGAAACTATACCAAAGCAGCATGATAATGCAGTTCTAATGGAGTTATTCACAATTAAACCTGTAGTTTGAGCCTCTTGATCTACTGGATTCTGTTCGGTGCCATTGATGTAAATACATTTTTGATTTTGAAATTTATCAAGTTTTTTATTCTTTTTCTCTTCTGTCAGACAACAAGTTTGTAAAATACTTCACAATTTCACTTTATCTTTGATGCCAGTCACCCTTTTACATTTTCTAATCTTCATTGGCTTCCTTTCTTAATCTGTAGTTGGCTAAATTTTCTTTTGTACAATGAGCCCAAATTTATCACATGCTCTTCTTAAAGTCTCCCTTAAATTTGACTATTTATACAAAGAACCCCCATCTTTGCTGCATCCTCATTATATCTTGTATGACTATGTCTGATCTATACCTTAATCAGTTTTCTTTAAAAGTTTCCCATGTTCACTGCTTCATTTAACATCTCCTTTCTAATTTATCTGGCTACTTTCTTTTACATCGCATTGAATTGGCCCTTTTCCAGTCAAGAACTTTTAACCTTTTCAGTTCCTGTACTTTTAAATTTCCATATTGAGCCTAATTATACTATGATCGTTATTTCCTGATGTTCCCAATGCTTGCATTGCTGACCTGCCATGTTTAATTTCATAAAACGAGGCATGGCATTGCCATCTTCCCTATTAGACAAAACTATATTAATCCTGGACACTGAACATTTACTTCTCATTCTTTACCTATCACCTTCTCTCCAATCCACCTTTGGGCTTGGCTAACCTTGTGAGAAGACACTAATATGTTTCACCCAATGCCTATCATCAGAGGTAAGCTACTGTGCACTAAAATCTCTGTCTTCTCTCTTTGACCCATGAATTTTGAGCGTCAAATTTTAACCGCATTTTCATATATTAACACAAATCATGATAATCTTCCATGGCCCTGAAGTTTCCACATTACATCAATATAGCTGCTATATTATTTCTAAAATCATCTGAATTATGATCAGCTCAATTCATCATAACTGATAATTCAGTGTTCAAATAACTGGAACTTGAAATAGATAGAATTTGCATCCAAAAAAACGAAGCTGATATATTCCTGTTTTGACGAGGTTTTATTCATTTAATTCATGTCTGCTGACAATGTAAAATTAACCCCAATGCCACTAACAGTCTCAGACAAAAAAACACACACACACACACAAATGTTAGACTATACTGCCTCATCTTTTTATAGAACTATTATTCCCAAGCTTTGCTGGAATGATATTGCAATCCTTAGTTGGAGACAGTTTGCAAGGTTCTGTTTTAACTAGCCTATGTCACTTAACTCAGAAACTATATTTTAATTTTTTCCTATATTGTTGGTACATGATTTATGAACAGAAAGCATACTTCACTAATGTTTTTGTACAACATATTTGCAAAAAATAAGTGACAAGGTTATCCTGTAAAGTCGAAAGCTGCTTTGAATGTTGGTAAACAAATAAAAATCAGAATTAGGGAATACGTTTTGAAAAGTCATTTTCCATTCTTTGGTTTCACACACACACATCAGCTGTGAGTCTCAGTCCTATAAAATACATCGCAAATATCAACTTTTTCTGCATATTGAAAATAAATATTAATTTAGTCTGCACACACTATTACCATTTGCACTTTGACACAAAGTATATTTCTGCAAGATTTTTAAATGAGTAAATTGGTGAAAATGATATACATATTTTATGTTAGTATCTTTGGTTCTAAGAATCAGAATATTCTCTTTGAAAGTTTTCTACAAACAACTTTTGTGATGTACATTTTCAGAAATACGCTAAAAGACTATTGTACTGCTCATGTTCTCCTGTGCTTCACTGTTCAGTATTTTCCAATGTTCTATGTGCAATGCTGCATTGTGCCTTAACCTTTCCAACCCTTCAGTTTAGGGTTGCCCATTAGACAGTGGATTTCCAGCACCAAGGACTAAAGAAATCAGCTACACATAAAGAAACCTCTTAACATCAGTTACTGTAGTAGAAAATTATTCACATTTTCTACGTTATAAGCATTGTGACCATCTATGGATCTCCTGCTGTGTGTTCTTAAAGAAACACACAATACCATGAATTCCAACTCATCATTAACAATTCTAATCATGCAGAGAGTTCTGCCACACCATCATTGACTGTAACTCACAGGAAAACATTTCCACTGTTGTGGACCAAAATTGAAAAACAAGACATTGAAAAATTGTGAAAGCGTTTTCCAACAGAATATTATTTAGGAAATAGATTTTAAAGTTACGATAAGCCTGAGTAACCTTCACAGGACATGAAAAATGTCTTTTGCACACAACTTCAAACAAAACTATAATAATTCTGTTTAAGGAGCAAACTCATTTTTTTCCAGCCAATCATTCAAACAGCAGAATGACTGTATGGAAAATACCATTTTATAGAGATGTCCGACAGTCCTGAAGTGTTAACAAAACAATGTAAAATAAAAACACTTTGAAATTTGCTGATGACAAGTAAAATTAATTCTGAAACTGCTCAAATAGTTTTAAGGAACGCAGACATTTTTCAGTGATCTTGAACTTTTGTTTGGCTTGCTATAATAAATGGTTGTAATCAGGTACCATCATGTCCCTTTTAAATATAAATTGCTATTGTGTTAGGAGGTATTATCCTCCATTTTATTAAAATCTGAAGTTATAAATACAGAAAAAATTTGGCTGAGTTGTTGACTTATTTCAGTCCCAGCATAATGGGGTATGGATTTATGCTCAAGATTCCCTGTCCTGAACACAGCTAAATGCAGCCTGTGAGGAAATTTATTTTATTAGTTGGAGATACTTAACTAAAGCAATATAAATTTTAAACAGAAATATCCCACAGAAGTCTAAAAGTTTCTTCTGCCAATTTTGGGCAGATTAACCCTCAACACGTCTGTATAATTTTTCCTCTGTCCATTATGTCAATGATATATTAACCTATTAAGATAACACCTCGAGGACAGCATTTGTTGAAACCCTGCTAATTACCCTTAGGAAGGTAGTAGTGAGCCAACTTATTGAACCACTGCAGTGGCAACTGAAGCACGTGCACTTACATTACTATGGGGACAGGGGACATGGCTGAGGTCTAAATTAATACTTCATTAAAGAAGATGTTATCAAACAGAGAACACTCAGTACCCCTGCGATCCTTATTACCTCACACAATTGATATTCAATAGGGAGGATTACAGATTCATCAGCTTGGAGAGAAATAAGTGGTGATTGCCAGGAAGTTTCCAAGCTCATGTATGAGCTGATGCCATGAGGTTTGATAAGATCTAGAGTCAAATATTGAGAAATCTCACAGTAACTTCCTCTAAACTGTATACTAGCCATAGTGGATCTATCCTGTCAATGGTATGGGAGAACCTAGGGATGGTAGAGAAAAAGTCTGAAGGACAGGTGTGGTTCTGAGTATATGGCTATGTTCATGAGAAAGCTCTCTCAATTTTGGCACCTCTACCCAGTTGTTTGCAAGAAAATTTTGTAGAATGGACAGGACCAATGCCAGGGTCAACATCCAGGTGGCACTGCAGTATTTTTACTGGTCTAGTAATCTAAAACCCCAGGCAAATGGTCTATGGACATGGGTTTGAATCCTACCATGGCAGTTGTGAAATTTGAATTCAATAAAAAAATCTGGAATAGAAAGCTAGCCTAATGGTGACCATGTAAACACTGTTAATTGTCATAAAAACTCATCTGGTTCACTAATACCCT